AGCGACTTTAGAAATGGAAATACTCAGTCAATGTGGAGAGAGTAAAATGAGGGACTTCAAGCCATCTACCATGAATCATGGAAAGGGAAGTGTTGCAGGACAACTAACACCAGTGGAATACAACAGACTAACAGTGTCTGAGACAGTGTCGATAGATGAACCCACCGGTGGATACATGGAAATGTTGGAATACCGAAACTCGGCTAGAGGGCATGTAATGGCCCTGGAAGAAGAAAAAGCCATGGAGGGTTATCTGGAAATAATGTTGCAAGGCACCACCCTCAAGCAGAAGGCGTACGGAACTTTGGCGTCGTCTGACGTACAGGCGGAAACGATCGAGCAGTTAGTGAGCCTTCCATGGAAAGCAGTAGTATTGAGGTATTTCGAAGAAGAAATGAGGACTACGCCAAGAATACATGCTCTCGTGGCAGTACCTTACGTAAGGACAGAGTTACAACTCAGGTTCGCCTGGTGCATGATGGGACTGACTCGCGAAGAATACGACTCAGAAGAAAGAAAGAGGTCAAAAGAAGAAAAGGTGTTCCTTATGACGAATCTGAAGGATCTGATAGTCCAGGAGGGAGCAGCAGTAGCGTGTGCGAAGCGGAGAGATGCTCTCTGTTTCATTCGATTCCTGATAGAGCAGATTTCAGTACCTGCATTAAGCAGTTGTGTTAAAATGTTGAGGGAAGGCGATGAACGAACGAAAGCCTTGTTCTTGCTGGCATTGCTGGACATGCAGCAAAGTAGACCGATGAGGGTGAACATGAAAGAACCTGAAGAACTGGAACCCATGAAAAAGATAGATGAGATCAGGAGATTCTCAAACAAGGAGCTGAGACTCACTAAAGAATCTATGGGAGCATTGCCGAAATCCAGTGAATACTGTGGACCGATCAAAAAGAAGTCATATAGCTACGTATCTGGGATCATAGGGATAGCGTACAATCCTTTCCGGAGTGAAGACATACGTGATTGCTTCTTTGATTATGAGCAGCCGATGTTACTAAGGTTCTGGACGTTCAGAATTGTAACGATCAAGAGCGTTAACAATCCACAGGCTAAATTGGGACTGGTCTTGGAAGAAGAGGTGACTGCACCTTCAGTACCAAAATCCGACAAGAGAGTGGAGTTTGGGTTGGGATTCTCAGATGAAGTACTGAGAACGAGCTTGATGGCAGTGTGGGAATTGATGAGGCCATCATGGTGTCCTAGTCCCAACGCTGACTCAACATTACGTGCGACACAAGACGTACAGAGGGAACTGAGTGCAGACTGTAACCTGCGTGACCTTAACATCATATATAATGTGATGATAACAGCCTCTAAGTGCAACGGAGAAGATAAAGTGGAGTTGCCTGGCTGGGGACCAGAAGACTGGGTAAAACCTGGTAGCTGTCTGGCGGAAGTCTGTGGACTGGAGGGTCACGTTTGTGGAAGTTTAGACTGTGTGAAAACGCTGGAGAAGCAACATAAGCAATTGACAGTATTGTTTGGAAATGTAGTGATGAAAGCAAGAACGGAAACGGAACTGATAGCAGATTGCCATGGAGGAACTGATGTGAATCTAGTGACTGCACTAGGATTCTACTGCATGTTTGGTTCTTTAGAGTCACTATTGAATCTAGAACAGAAACATGAGATGGTCACAGCCATCAGCGTAGAAGTATTCCCAGGAGTTCTGCAGACTGAGCAGAAGTACATAGGAAAATGGAGGGAGGCAATCGAAACAGAAATGAACATCAGACACAGCGAAACTTATTGTAGACCAGCAGGAGCACGATATTTGGTGGGTTCAACGTTGGCTCCAATGTGCAAGAGCAGGTATCCTGTACATTTCGTAGCTGTGGACGTGAAGAGTACAAGAACGATTGTGGATCAAACCTTTTCAGTGCCGAAGTGCGTGAGGTTGGCAAGAATGTCTGAAAAGTCTTACGAGTTTTTGTGTAAGATTTTCTCAGCAGTTCCAGAGAGAACCAAAGAAGAGTTGGAGTCAATATTGGGAAAGAAGTTCATGGGATATGTGAGCGGGAACTTCAGTGACTTTGAGAAACAGAAGCAGAGAGGATCAACTGTCACAGATTACAATGCAGTAGATGAGAATGATGAAATCCACCGAGTGATGATGGAATTGGAACCATTGCTGGAAGCTTCGGGAAAACGTAATTGGAGGAGCATCATGTTGACGCATGATGAGTTTCCTTGCCACTGCTTGTTGCAGACCTGGTGGTATCCCAAGCGTAGTAATCTGATGTTGATCTGGGACTCTGGAGAGCTGCTCTCCATGGGTTTACCAGATTCATCACAGCCCGTAACAATAGTGATAGTGGGAGTTATGATGGCGATACGATGGCTGGAAGCTCATAGCTCATGTTAGAGAAAATAATGGACAGGAGGCACCGACGAGAGAACAATTGCAGAAATTAGATTGTCTAAAAGATTTAGATCTTTTTGAGACAATGTGTAAAGTTCTGAATATTCCGATGGAAGTGAAGAAGATATGGGCAAGAAAACGATTGATGCCATGGTTCAGAGTTAACATGACTGCATGGTTGTACGAGTATGCGAAAAAGCATATGTCGAAGCATGGCAGAGTGTACAGTGAATATCAGCTGGACATTGGGGCAGGAGCTTTCAAGCGAGCCTTCGTGACTCATCGGAATGCAGTGACCACCGCTGTGAAAAGAATTTCCAGAACGAGCGAGCGTAGTGGAAATGAAAAGGCAGAGATGCTGAAAGAAGATCTGGAGAGAAACGTGACGTTGTGTCTCCACAACAGCTTCTGTAGAAACAGAGAATCCAACGTGGATCCTCTACCTTGCTGTAAACAGAAGGTAGAAGAGCAGAAGTGTTGGAGGATGGCTTCCAACAGCGTCAGGATAGTCAATGACGTGCTACAAGACACGGAAACCGAAAGTGCGGAGTCAGCATCGCAGGAGGAGGAAATGGAACATTGATGAATGGTCGAGAAAACAAGAGGCAACAAGAAAGAAAATTAGAAGAATTTAGAAGTTTTAGAACTTCTAAACGACGAAAAAAGAAGAGAACAAAGGAATGATGAAGAAAAGACAAAACTCAGAATTGTTTTATGTGTGTGAAAAACTCAAGTGAGAAACCAAGCAACCAAGTTGTAATTGAAAACTGGAACATTTTGTTGAGTTCTGAAATTGTTGCATTTATAAATTTGCATTTTGATTTTAGCAGAAGTGGCTTTAGAGACACTTATTATTTATTTAGAAAGGCTTAAGGGAAGAGTATTTTTAAATGTTCCAGCCTGCATGATTGTTTTTAATCACTTAGGAAAACTGATCACTTTGTGGTGACATGAAAGACTTGAGTAACCTCTTGAAGAGGGAGGTTTTTACATTGTTCTTTCTAACCACAAAGTTTCTTAGTTTTAATATTCAGGACAATAAACAAGCAAGATTTCCGAAGGGAAGGAGCATAGTAGGATAATTTTAGCTTGTTGGTTGGCAGGACTGTCCTGCAAGCCAACACCTTTTAAATCTAAGAGAAAAAGTTTTAATCGGGACATAGACACTGGAAGTCAGAAAACATGTTTTATCTTAGGTCATATTCTCAATGTGCAGATTAATGAAAGAATTTGAAGGCTATAGTGTTGTAGTATGATGCCATTTATATTCTGCAGTGAGTTGATGTGACGTAGATAAAAGTAATTTAGTGCATTTTGTAAATTCTGTTCGATGGCACTGTAACCATTTTATGAACATTGCGCGATTCAATGAGGACATTGACCGGGCTGTCCGGGGAGTATGTGACATTCGACCAGAATGGCCAAAATGCAATCTCTGCAGAATTAGGAATTTTAGCAGCGAGCCTTCCGAGTTGATGGTTTTGAAGGATTAACGATGTTATTCGGATGATTAGCAGAACAGTGAAGGTCAAGATATTCCCGTATTTTAAAATTTTAAATTTTCGAAGTGATGACGTAACATTTCTGAGAAATGCTGAAATGGCCATTTTTAACAAAAAGCGAGTGAAAAAAGAGAACAACTTTATCTGTGATAGAAAACAGTACGGAAATCGAGACTGAAAAACGACAACGAACTACAGAATAGCAGAGAGCGTTCCGAGTTGCAACTATTGTGCTGCTACAATAGTTGCAAGGCCGTTGCGAACAACGGTGAAGGGTGAAAACCAGCCTTCCGAGTTATCGTGAACTTGAGATTAAGGAGCTTGATTCGGCGGATTCAAGAATCCGGAAGGGTCTCGGGACGGAAACTTTTATTGACTCTGATAAACTTTTAGCATCCTGTCATGTCCTGACTTGAATTTAATTAAGATCTTAATTCGTTTTGACAAGAATGAGGAGCTAGAAGAAGGGGGGAAAGGGTTGATCCATCTTCGATGGAGATGATGATTTTTATCTACTGAACAAAAACAATAGTATTATAATAAGTAGTAGCCCTGTTTTTAGGAGTGACCTCGTGGTCTGGGGATACTGAGACCCAGCCATGAGCTCACTATTTCTGCATGTAATTCAGTTAATTTGAGCGTTCTGGTCGAAGCCGGAGAGCAGTAACGTTTTTGTCGACCCGATGTTGGAAAAGACCACCGAAAAGTACTGGCTTGGTAGAGACGGTGAAAAACATGCAAAGCTCTGTTTAGACGCTAGCCAGTCGTCTTAAGACTTAGTTTTGTTATCCGTCGATATGTATCTTCCGGGCGAATGTTACATTTATTACTAGCTTGTTCCTAATTCTTAAATCTTTATTTTTCTATAGTATCCGAAACTTCATATACTTTAATCAACCAATTTCCGAACCGATTTTGTTTTTTTTTGTTTTGTTTATTGCTTGTTTTCTGATGTTTTGTTTTTGTTTGATGTAACCAACGAATTTATAACCAATTTTATTATTTACACTTTGCTACACTGATGCCTCGGCTGTTTATTGTATAGTAATTCAAGTGTTCTTTCTTCTTCTCTCTTCTTAGATCTCACGTGGTCGTAAAAGGTTGCTTAAAATATATTTTAGATAAATAATGAATATCCTTCCTCAAAAAAGTTGGCATGTGCGAAGAAAAGAAAATGTAGAAAAAGTTCGTCGCGATGAGGAGGAAGCTGAAAATAAGCGGCTTGAACAGGAACGCAGGCATTCACAAGCGGAGATAGAGGCACTTAGATCAAGGCTAGGAGGAAGCAAACAGTCAACTGAATCAATTCAAGGTTTGTATTCAAAATAACTGTTCAACAGTATGCTCACAGGGTACTTTATCAGAAGATCAAATGCCAAGAACTTTATTCGATGAGTCCCCTCACACTATTTACGAGAGTTTGGGGGAATAGCTGGATATATCTGTGTTCAAAATTTGGGCACGGTTGGGAATGTTACCTTCTAAAAGTATTGCACGGCGTGTCCGCCTATAGTATTCATATTTTAATTATAATCTCTTTACCTAATTTATTAAGTGTCAATGAACGGAGAGAAAACACTTTTTGCGGCCGTGGGATTTTTTGTTTCTTTTTTAAGAAGAAAAATATCGCGCTCAAAAATGTTTTTTGTTGTTGTTAATTGACTTGGAGTTCAATTCAAATTCGGTTGTTAACAGCAAAGCAAATTACAATGCAAATACGCAAGTGAAAATTGCACTAAAAATGCGAATGACTACGTTTCAGAAGTAATTTGTAATTCTAAGATATCCCAGCGGAATAGAAACTTTACTTGTTGATTCAGTGTTCTCTTATCGAGTTAGTTTTGAGAAGCACCGGCAATGAAAGATTCCTCAATTTAAAGAGCTTTGATGTGATGTTTTTCTACGAACATTATTTCTCGGTTTTCGTGAGCTGATTGGCACTTTCACTGCCCCTGTAGGAGCAGCACTTTCACTGGAGGAGCTGTACGAGGCTATAAAAACCGTCCAAAACTTAGCATAGAAATTAGCGAAAATTGAAACAAATCATGCTACAACACAATAAACTTTGTAAGAACTAAAATATGCCTTGAACTTCTGTGGAGTGGAATCCTCTGCCTCAGGGTTGCAAAAAACTTAAAAATACATGCAACATAGATAATTCCATCAGTGGTATAATCGGGGAGGGTAGGTAGATTTTTATTGACAATTGCCTATTTGCTTTAAAATCGACTTGATTCTTTCATAAAATTTACCGATGTATGTTTATAGCGTTGGTATGGCCCTATTTAACCTGTGCACGAATCGTCGCATGACGGTAGGGCCCATTTTAATTGACACCCTTTTTTCCTTCACTGCCCTAACTGGTTGGCTATGATAGGTAATTCTGGTTAAAAATGGCTCTTGTAATGTCTTTTCATTTGGTTTTCTGCAGTTTTTAACTTTTTCATTAGTTACACCAAGTTTGACTTAGTTTTCTAAAATCTTGTTAATTTCTAAATACAAGTTTTTTTGTTCTGTTTAAGAAAAGCATATTAATCTGTTCGTTGATCGGGATTTCGACTACAGTGAGAAGAACAAAGACACACATCGTGAAACTGAGCTGAAAAAAGTGCTCATTTACCGTTTTCTCTTCGATGAATACAAACAGATCTGCTGGACAATCTCCATCTTGTTTACATTAGAGGTAGAAGTTGTCCCGTAGATTTTTCAACCAAACAGAAAGCTCAAAATTTATATTTTACAGACCCACTAATTATGTTTCACTGCCTATTCTGAATGATTTTTCATATTAATTTCATATGCAAAGAGAACCGCGCATTTTAGTGTTTTTGGGGTAAATGTAAAGGTTATCGATAATGACATATTTTCACAGAATTACGTAACGCAACCTGTTGTTATGTTGCATAACATTGAATTGTTAAATTTCGGCTTGTTGGAATGGTAATTTTTTTAATGCTTGTTGGCCTACCGCCCCTTAAGTAGAATCAAATTTAGTAGATAAAAATTCAGTTCATTGTCGAAGGGAAACTGTAAAAGAGCAGAGTTAGGAAACAGAGCAATGGGCGAGGAAAGTGGGCATCTCAGTCGGGCTAAACGACAAGTCAGAAGAAGCACAAAGTCATTGGGTGTTTGGGAAGAGTGCAGGAAAAGACTCGAAGACGACCCTAGTCGAAGATCTGGAGTTGCAAAAGGTTTGACATTTTTGGAACGAATAAGCCTTAATCACCTCACCTCTTGCGTCTAAGGTCATTAGCAAAAGTAGTTTCACAGAAGGTTAAGTTGTCTCGTTTTTCAGTTGTTTTATACATTTTCTTTATGACGACTTGAAGTGTTACATTGTTTTTGGTTTGTTCACAACGTTTGTTCATAATTTGATGTCTTAATTGTTAATTAAATGAGTCATAACTATCTGGTGCTGATGTCACGAATTTTAGTTAAATTTTACTCAAGTTTCAATTGTGTTCTAATTTGAGTTCAATTTTTCCAATCAAAGCCGCACATTTCATTGCAAAGTTTTTGAACATGCATTAGCCAAAAATACAATCTAAATCCAGAAAAAAAAGTTAGTTTCAAGAAAATCGTATTAAAGCAAATTCACCGCCTCAATGTAAGTCTGAAGCAATTAAAGAATATGAGTCATCATCCTGAATATTTTTTGAGCAACGCAGTCGAGGGACTGGAGGATTTTCATTTTATTTGGCTAATTGAACGAATTTGAGCTTTTTGGCACAATTAAGTATTGGATTCTTTATTAAACTTCAATGATGGCTGATTCATTTTGTCTTGCTTCGAATTTCTTCAATGGGTTTCGGCGAAGTTTGGAGCCCGGACTGGTGCGCCGTAGTTGAGGACGGAGCGGGTGATCTCTTTGTACACAAATGTGACTTCCTTTTTTTGGTTCCCGTTTTGCGGAGGTGATGGTTCAGAGCGCGTTGTTCCTGTTGCTGGCTGTGTTGTATAAGGTTTTACGTGTTCTTCGAAGGTTATTGAATAGTCCAGTGTAACGCCCAGTACCTTGATATTGTGCTCGGTTGGTATTTTAGCCCCTTCATCCTAATTTTCAATTCAGTCTTCCATTCTGCGTTCCAGTTGCTGAAGAGCACGACTGCGCACTTAGTGGTTGAGACAAAGCTGTTTGAAGTTTAGGTAGGGGGCGAGTATGTCGAGTTATGCTGTGTGGTTGTTTACGCTAATTCGTGCCAGTTATTGCTTCGTAGGTAGTCTCCAAGTTCATTGTGTCCTCCCATTTTACAGATTGAATTCTAAATTTCTCAGCCATTAAACGACGTGTTAAGCTACTTCAATTCATTTTACCTAGTGGCTTAAAATATATTTTAAAATCTATTTTGAAAAGATCAAAGCTAAGCAATCGAAATTCAATTTTTTATGTTTTCGTTTTAGTGTGATATGGGACTTCAAATTTATATTTGATCATATATGTTATTTAGAAGATGATGATGATGAAATGTATCACTATCGATATGATACGATTGAATATGTAAATGAAATTAACTATAGACTAGCACGCCAACTTTGAGAAGATAGTGAACGAGATCAGCTGATCGGCTTGAAGCCTACCCTATTTTTTTAATGACTTAGCTCTAGTATCAAGAAAATAGTTATTCAAATAAGCGAGATCCAAACAGTTTTTTTTAATCTAAACATCATGCTCCAATTTAAAATATTCAAGTGCTTATGAAATAAGGAAAATAAACGAAATGTAAGTCTATGAAACTTTGGTAAAAGTTTTTGTTTTTCTTCTTCATTTCCTCTCATCATAGGTGTAATAATTGACTTATTTTGTATTATGGAGCATAAGAGTTTTCAAATTCACGAACAAGTTAACATATTCATTTTGGGTTACAGAATTAAAACCATTGATAGAGGAGCTATTAAGTTCAAAGAATTGTACAGCTAGATAGCTCTAGAGCTTTGTTAACATATTCATTTTGGGTTACAGAATTAAAACCATTGATAGAAGAGCTATTAATTTGAAAGAATTGTACAGCTAGATAGCTCTAGAGCTTTGCTCAGGTTGTTGGAATAGTAAACATTTGATTGAGCTGCGTGTATGAGTATAATGGTCTTAAAAAAAGGAAAATTTGATAAAGATGTGTTTTCCAATGATAATTTTTATCAATCGTTGTAAAAAAAACTGAGAATTCCTTGATGTATTTGGGAACCTCATCAGTAAAGACTGCTTGAAAAAAAAAACAATTTAATTTTTTCTGAACAAAAAAATTGGGCTTAGGAAAGAGCGACTGCAACACCCATAAATAAGTACAACATATTGAATCAAAGGCTTACAATTAATTTAAGAGCCGCAAACATGAGAGGCTAGTTTCTTAGTAACACATTGGCTGAGTTTGAAATGACAATCTAGAGTCTAGCTAGATGAATAAATTTTTATAAGAAAGAAAGAAAGAGAAATAATTCGTTTCTACAATAATTGTTACAAAAACGTGTTTCTACAACAAAAACGTGTCTTTTCCGTAGCGTTTTTTATGTGTATCTAGCAAAAATATTCCGAAAGCAAGCAGAGCCAGTTTTTTGTTTTATCAGTATCTATCACGCTAGAACAGTCAGTATTAATAGAGTAAAAACAGAGAGAAGAATTTAATTAGTGAACCACTGCATTTATTTTTTTAAATAGAAAAGTTTAATAGGATTTTTTTGAAACTTCGGAGTAATTTTATCAAGCTCTAATGCACTCCAAAAAAGCTACATGCACGTTTCCATATTTAAGTTTTTTTTTCAGATTTAATGAAGATTTCCAAAAAAATGCGATATCTCGAGAATTAATAGAAGGTTTTGAACAATCTTTTTTTTCCCTACAAAAGACCTGACTCCCCGGGGAACGCACAGCCGCATTTAATCAAAGGATCTGAAATTCATATATAGCTACATGCACCTTTCCATATTTAAGTTTTTTCTCAGATTTAATGGGAAAATTTCCAAAAAAATGCGATATCTCGAAAACTAATAGAAGGTTTTGGACAGTATTTTTTTTCCTAAAAAAGACCTGACTCCCCGGGGAAGGACCAGCCGCATTTAATCAAAGGATTCGAAATTCATATATAGCTACATGCACGTTTCGATATTTAAGTTTTTTTCATTTTTAATGAGAAGATTTCCAAAAAAATGCGTTATCTCGAAAACTAATAGAAGGTTTTGGACTGTCTTTTCGCTACAAAAGACCTGACTCCCCGGGGTATGCCCAGCCGCATTTAACCAAAGGATCCGAAATTCATTTAAATAACCACAGCAAATTTTTGAATTAAAAAAGAATCTTTGAATTTGTGGTAAAATCTTGATTTTTTATTAAGAGAACTATTTTCACTTTCAACGGGTAGTAAATCTAAGGTTTTTAATTTGTTATACAATTTGCATCCTCTATACTGTGTCGAGAATCTTTCACTTTTTTGTTTGCAGAAAGGTTCCATAAGTAATCTCGCACAAGATCTATTTGTTAGTTTTTGAGAATTTTGAAAACTAAACTTTTTGTTTAAAAAAGACTCAGTGCATTCTGTTTACAGAGTTTTGTAAGAATTTCAAAGTTCGTAGATATGGCACTCATAAGTTGTCAGCAATTCGTTTTTCTCGAAAAATTTTTCACACTGATTTTGCGGTTTTCTGAAAAAGAGAATTTCAAAATTTTCATTTGCGTTACGAAAATTGGGTTTAAAACAGAAAAACTACAGCACCCGTAAACCAAAATGCCAAACTGAAGAATACTCACTACGTTACTATGATAGTTTTCCAGTAGTTGTCCACTTGGTGCACAATGTCTTAGTTTTGATAATGAACCACATTGTTATCTAAGTCTATTTAACGAAAACTATGTGACTGAAAAATGAGTTTGCAATTTAAATAAATGCCTAAATAATTGCGTACGGTTAACTATTTTTTGACAGCAATTCTAATCGAAATCCTAATTGGAAGCACTTGACTTAACGTTCATTTGAACTGCTTTGATATCTATTCAAAACATCTAGCTCGGATTTAACATTTTCGACAGTGAGTGCATCTCATTGCTTTAACTTTGTATCATCTGCAAAATAATTATTTTGCCGACCTACTTAAAGGAAGATCATTAATGTAAATAATAAATAACAAAGCTCCTAAAGTTGATCCTTGTGGAACACCGCAGTCAATTTCTTTCCAATCAAAGCCCACTCCATTAACTTCAACACGCTGTATTCGAATGCGAAGTTAAGTTTTGAACCAATTTAGACAATTGCTTGCCTGGCTATAATTTTCTAGTTTGTAAATTAGTATGTTGTGGTCAATCGAACGTGGTTTTAAGATCTAAGAAGAAGCTGTAAATTTCATCAGATAAAGGCGATCTCATTCTTTCGGTCAATTCCGCTAGTGCATCAATTTTACTATGCTTACGGTAACCATTTTGTTAGAGATACAACAGGAATAATTTTTCGAGGTAAGAATATACACGGTTGTACTTTGCTCATTTATAGACTTTACTCCAATCAATAAAAAGAGATATAGGTCATAAATTTTTTCCGTTTGTTCTTGATCCTTCCTTATCCATAGGAAAAACCCTCGCTTCGTAGAGATTTTTGGGAAACAAACGTTTTGAAATTGAAAGGTTGATTATGAACGCTATATAGGGAGCGGAGCCAAAACTTTAGCCTATATTTTTAATGTAGTTGTCACCTGACGAATATTTATTATCTAAACCGTTAATTATTTTTCAATCTTCCTTGGTTCATTGAAAAAGGAACGCTTACAATCTTGGGTCTCAATTGTATGAATGTCTTTTTTGAGTGTTTTCCCTATGGCTTTAAAAAAATTATTTGATTTGCAATATCAGCATCTGTTGAATCATCGCAAAGATTAAAACACAATTGCAATGGGAGAATTTTTAGATTTAAGCTTTAAACCACTAATATCATTTAATAGTTTATAATTTTGTCTTGATTCTCCGATACAATTTTTGAACTTTTTCCTATAGTAATCTTTTGGATTGCTTCACTTTTTCGAACTGCGCGCTTAAGCTTTTGAATTTAACCCAAAAAATGGTCTGCATCGTTTTGACTGCTTTGTCATTTCTTGTGCGCTGCTTTTCCTTTTTTCGTAGATTTGCGAGTCTGTTGGTAAACCAAGTTGGACGATTTTTTGATTGATTTTTGTGCACGTGAGAGCAAAATTATCCAGAAACTTCACA